TGCCCCCTCAGATGAAAAATACTTCCGCGGCGCCTGTATTTCACAATTTGATACGAACTTGATACAAATTGAATACACAAATACAAACCTCCTTCAAGCGCAGTGGCATTGCATCTTGTATGAAACTCAGGAGGCGCATGCTAAAAGCAGGTGTTAGCCCCATAACTTGTTTCATTGAAAGTCCATCAAAGTCCATTATGACGACGGAACCGAATATCTAAGAGAAAGAATAAATTGAACACTTGTAAATGGATTAATACAAAAAATGATTATAATTAGCAAAATATTATTAATGTTATTAAAAGAAGTAATAAATTGCTTAATAAAATATAGCTGAGAAAAGCTAATTAACAATTTCAACGGTGCGTCTGATTCCAACGGAAAAATAAATGTTAACGTCATAAATTTTCTCTGCTTATTATTGGATTATGCGCTTATCGGATGAGCAAAGTGCAATTACGTATTTATATCTGCCGCCGAAATTAAAACCAGTGAAAATTTTTATAGGATATTTTTATAAGAAATAATCATAATAATGTCATCACTCTGTGAACTTGTTTTTATGATTTGCAACCTTTCTTCGCAGGCTCGAGTTAAATAAATTTTGCTGATTGCGATGTATCGCGCATGAAATTCAATAATTATGCAACATTGCTATTACTGCTCACTATACATAACAATATTTACGATTTAAATATTTACATAGGCAAAGATTTATCAATGGAAAAGTTTAAAAGAAATATTCGCTTCAAGCTAAATTGCACTTTTTCTTACCTAACCTAACGTTTGATAGATTTATATCTCTGGATATAAGCCAGAATAAATGTATTAATTTTTTGCTATGTAAAGACTATGTAAATGTGATATTCAATTAATACCTGCGTTTCCGGTTCCTGTATGGCCATTTCATGAATAAGATAAAGCATTCGGAAAATCTGGTCGCTCGTGACTTTTGATGGATCCCACTTTTTGCCGCAGTTCATGAACAGCACTCTACGGTTTTTATGATCTCTCGTTTTCAATACATTAACGATATTGTGCTGCGTGAGAGCCTCTTTCTCATCGCTCGGCATCAAATCCTGCAGCAGGATCGAGTTCTTTTCCTTAAAGTCCGCAATGCGCTTCATAAGCTCCAGCGCGCTCTCCGGATAAAATTTGCATGGTCGCAAAAAAATGAGAAGAAAATTATCATCGGTGCAAAAGTAAAGCGTTTTGTCCTCTGAAACAGAAGATTTGGAAAGTTAATAATTTTGACGATATCGATGATACACAAATAATCGCAAAAACGCGAGCGATAGGAAACATTATTTGTTCTTGCTTTGTGCAATCAATTAACTTCTTATTCATTCCGGTTGATTTAAAAGTTAAGAGTTGTTTATGATTTTTTATTTTGTAATTTATATGCTTCTTGCAAAAAATGGAAGATTGTACAGTATCAATATATGCGATAAGAGCATCCTAAAATTTGAAATATAGGACAAGCTCCCGAAAAATCATGATTCCGAAATTTATATAACATTTAGTAATATTATCCTAATATTTTAAATTTCGGGATTATAATTTTTTTGGAATGTTGCTCTACATTTCAAACTTTAAAACTAAAAACTTTTCGAAGTATTATTCATAGTATTTATATTTCAGAGCATTGCGTGTTTGCTTTCAAACATTGCGTGTCTATCGATCGTACAAACATCTTTTTGCACGAACAGATACATAGAAAATCGACTTATAGTATTCAATATACATTATGATTTCTTCGATATCTAACTACAAATCATTATTCGTCATTTTAATGAGATCTTAACAAGCGCGCGTAAACGTTATGAATAGCCGTACGTGAGTACACTTATTTTCTCAACAATAATAATGATTCATTGAGCCAGCTGATATTCTTCATATCCGACAGAATCATCGGACTTTGTATCGTCTTGTCACGTTATCGAAATGTGCTACTCGACCAAGGTACACAGTTAATTGTGCTATCGTAATCAACGAAGTTAGTAATGTGCAGATTTCCATTCGATGAAAATTAATGACGAGAGGAATAACAATAAGTAAACGATTCTGCTTCACGCGACTATTAATCTCTCTAAAGGCATGAAATACGCTTATTTGCGTAGTTCTTGTCAACAGACAAATCCACGCATATCCTTTGTCCATTTCGACAGTGCAAAAAAAAGTCGGATTTGCTTCGGAGCGACTTTGCGTGCGAGGTCACGATTACGTTCTCAAAAAAATCACCACGCTCCTTATTAAGGAAATGGCGAGGATCGCTATTCATTCTGTTACGAGCGGAATGGATATGCGGGTCGTTTATGTAAAGCGACACGGAATGCGTAATGCCGACAACGGAAATGAATGACGGACGAGTTTGCTGCCAAAAACAGATTTGCAAAACAATGACAAATGCGCGAGCTCTTGATAGAAGCGCAGATCACGCCGCTGTATTTGCGTAGCGAGAGAGAGAGAGAGAGAGAGAGAGAGAGAGAGAGAGAGAGAGAGAGAGAGAGAGAGTAGTAA